TGCCCAGGGTCTCAGGCACCCTGGAGGGCCCCACTCCCCCCACCCAGGGCCCATAACTAAACTTCCATAGCAGCAGTGGGGGGAATGTGCACTGAGCCAAGCTGGGTCCTGCTGACCCTGGGGTGCTGCCGCCCAGCCGGGCTGGTCTCGTGGTGGCAGGACCCAGTGTGGCACATGGGGACTGTGTGCCAGGCCCAGCTTGGTCCTGGGGCCCCTATGCGCCCGGCCGGGCCAGGCCCATGTCAACAAGAGCCGGGTTGGTACATGGGGACCGCATGCCAGGCCCAGCCAGGTCCTGGGGCCCCGCTGCAGCCCAGCCAGGCTGGGCCCACGGTGACAGGACCCGGTGTGGCATGCGGTCCCCACATGCCGGACCCAGCCAGGTCCTGCTACCCTTGGGGCTGCTTTGCCACCCAGCCAGGCCCTTCCTATAGCAGCAGGACCTGTCCTGGTGTGTGGGGACTGTGTGGAGCCGAACCAGATCCTGCCAGCCCTGGGGCTGCTCGTGCTGCCTGGCCTGGCCCAGCCCAGTGCACAAGGACCGCACAGAGCCAAGCCGGGTCCTGTCAGCCCTGGGGCTGCTTATGCTGCTGGGCTGGGCTGGGCTGGGCAGCATGAGCAGCCCCGGGACCATGTGGCTCATGCTGCCCAGCCCGGCGTGCGGGGACCGCGCCCAGCCAAACTGGGTTCTGCCTGCCCTGGAGCTGCTTGTGCCGCCTGGCTGGGCTGGGCAGCACCCAGCTCGGCTCCGTGCGGTCCCCACGCGCCAGGCCGGGTCCTGCTGCTATAGGAAGGGCCTGGTCAGGCGGCAGGACCCAGTGCGGCATGCGGGGACCACGTGCCATGCCGGGTCCTGTCACCATGGGCTGGGCGGCAAACAGGCCCCAGGGCTCCGGTGCAAAGGCAGACTAGCGAGCTGCACTGATCTGGGCCAAGTCCTCACTCCCTGCAGCCCCAGAGATATCGCCCCCCCTGCCACTCCCCAACCTCCCCCCACATCCCCCTACCACCTCTCATCCACCCACACCCATGAACCCCACCCCACTTACCTTGGACAGCGCCGGGAGCCAGGGGCAGCAGGAGGGAATACCAAAGAGACTGGCTGAAACCAGAGCGTCTCTTTTGGAGGACTGGCTCCAGGCACCGTTTAGAATTGTGCCTTGCTCCGCTCTATTGTGGAGTGGGTGTTTTAGACCCCTGGATATTCAGGTGTTTAATTTTCTCCCCATTTTTTTGTTCCCACATGTGTCTCTTTGTCCCACCTCAAAGGGGTTTGAGGTGGGGCAAGAGGCACTTGTGCACTTGTCTGGACGCGCCCAGAGATGTGTCCAAACTTTCACAGGCTTAGGAGGTTAGTTGACTTTCTCCTATTAGCATTAGTATTCCTCTGAGTGGGAAATGCTTCATGTAGAGTTGTGCTGATTAACCCTTTCTGCTGTCTTGAGGTGTGGATTCTTTTCTGAAGGTCTCATGTTAATTTAAGGCTAAGCTCAAAAACGAGTGTTTGGGAGCTAGCCAGTGTAAATATGTAACAACTTTAGGCGGAGGTGTAGGTTTTGTGTTCATATAACATCAAGAATGCTTGGCTCTTAGCTCCAGTGTTGAATGTGTTCACATTGTTGCTGCAGAAGGGGTATAGGCAGACAGGCTGACCACCCTGTGGCTAATAGGTTAGACTATTAAATTAATCCAGCTTCGTTCCTTTTTCAAGCTTTGTCTCCTGAAGGTTTCAATAACATGTTTTCATTATTTTACTCTTCTTCCTTACCCTCCCACCCTACGTTTAATTATGCTGAGATTTGGTGTGTAATATGGAAAGTGAAAGAAGTTCAATTTTTTTGTTAAAAATACATGTTTCCAAGGGAAAATCTCTTCCTAGGAAAAAAACGTTTATATGCTAATAGATACAAGAATGGACATAATTTTCTACAGAGGACAGTCAGGTCAAGGTGTCACCAGAATAATATTTTCTGCATCTTCAAGGAAGTGATCAGATTGACAGCAGCTATTGTCAGAAGCTTCATCTCTGAAATTACTATGTTTAATTTTTGTACATCCCCCCAGAAACACAGTATTTGTTCTCAGCCCCAGCTTTTTTTCACATCCTTTGCAAGAGGCAGAAGACTGGGGGATTTTGGGACATTACTTAGATCAACCATCTGCATTACTGGCTGTCATCCAACTGCCTTGGTGTAATGGTCTAACCACTCAAACCTTGCTTAAAATAGTTTCCCTCCATGTTCTTTTTTTCCCCTTTCTCTTATGTTTTAGAAAGCTCTTTCCTTGGGCTAGGATATTGAGCCCCTTAAGCTCTTGGCCAACCAGAGTTTTAAGTGCTGATTCAGTCAGTGCCTCTGGCAGATGATTACAAGAACTTGCTCACTGAGCTGGTGCTGTGGTGTGATGAAAATGAGTTGACCTGTAATTTTAATGTTGCTTTTACAAGACTATATTTTATCTAAGAATGGAGGCTTGTGGCAATGCAGATTTTTTTTTTCTTTACATTTTTTTTTTGTTTTGTTTTTACATCTGTTGTGCTTTTATTCTTAAACACTAACTCCAACACTAGTTCAGAAGTATATTTCTAGTACTAGGGTTGCAGCCATCACAAGATGCTTTTATTATATCCACTTTAAAATGTTCCTGATTTAAAAATGCAGTTAGGCTTTCTGCAAAGTAAGTTGGTGTCATCAGGATGAACCTGGCTAAATCAGTTTTTATCCAATTGCAGGTGCCATCTGCAGCCTTTGTCCTCAATTAATGAGGGTGCAATGCCAGACATTTAGTAAAGAGAGTATTTCCAGTGCATAAGTTACTGTGCATTCTGGAATGCATCCTTGCTATTTGACTATCATTTGCTTCTTAATTGTATACATTTTTGAAGCAAAATAGATTGCAGATTAAATATCGGTGAGGCTTTGTTCCCCCCTCTTCCAGTTTTTAGGAAGATCAGATGAGTAAAAAGTAACTTGGTGCCTTTTGAAACCTCAAATGCTTCAATGTAAGGCAACTATTTCTTAATTTGTGGTACTTGGCTTCTGATGGCGGACAGCCAAAGTTTGTAGAGATGTGGAATATCTATGTAGTTTTTTCCCTTTGTATTATCAAGACGGCAATTCTAGAAATAAAAGGTAAAGCTCGCTACGTTATGCGTGGTTTTGTAACCAGAGTCCTAAACTGTTCATCCTTGGATGAGGATTGACCGATATCCTAAGTAACTTAACCTCCATGTTGGTCACAAAAGTGGCTAGTGAATTTTCTAGCTAGTAGGCTATTCTGCAAGTAGAAAAATGCTTAAATTGTATGTAAGCATCTTAAGTCTGAAGTGTTATAAACTAGCTTTTTAACCTGCAGTTACTTTATTTTAATACAGAGCCTTTCTGCTTTATACTTAGAATAATCTCCCATAGCCCTGATGCAGCAGGTTTGAAGATCTTTATCTGCATTGACATTACCCTTGCCCAGAGTCTTGCTTTGTGGTGGAGACTAGTGATTATTTAAATACACAAGCAGCTCTAGGAGAAGGTGAATGTAAATGCTGCTCATCTGAGTGTGTAGCTTTTCTCAAAAGAAATCCCAAAATTTGTTACAGCCTTGCTACTGGGCCTGTGCGCGGTAAAACAGTTAATACCCTGTAAACAGGAGCGTGTGGAGTTGACACTCACCTTCTTGTTATAAATCCTTTTTTCTCCCTTTGTACTACTTTCAGTAACTTAAAGCCTTCCCTTTTCCTACCTTCTTGCAAGTCCCAGGATTTGATTCTCATTTAGGACAGGAACAGACATTTTGAGTTTATGATAATGTATATTTAGTGGTGCTCTTCTGGCTATATCTAGCAGCTATTCGTTTTGAAACCAGTAATACAACAGACACAATATATTAAACAATAAGTATAAATATATTACTGGGTGCTTGTACGTTTGTGAGAAATTTTCGTCTTGATGTGAATGGAATAAAATGTAACATAAACGTGGCTTAAGGATCATTTGAGTTTCTTCTTAAAAAGACTGAATCTTATTGAATTAATGTTTCCTTTGACCTCTTATAATAGGGATTCTCGTGGGAAGAATATGTCCCTATTCCACATCACTGTTTTTACTAATAAGGTACTCTCTTTACTAAGACATTCCCAAAACTGGTGCAGGCTCTTCAACATTAGTATTAGAGTATCTATTAAATTCTTCAACAAACTGAAATTAGCACTTCCTTTTGGTAGCTTTGTTATTTAGACTCATCCTGGTTTGTTTGTTTTTTTTTTCTTTCCAGAATTTACATGTTTGACAGCAGAACTCGGCTTTCTACTATAGTGAGAGAAAATGTAAGTTGAAGATTTATTTGCTTTATATTGCATGATTCTTAAGAAACAAAGTATTAAAAATATTTATCTGTGTGTATATCTAATAAATTACATTTTTAAATCGGTAGACTACAAATTTCAATGCCTGTCTTTTATCTTGTGCATATCAATAAGGCCATGATTCTACTCTAGCTGCTCTCATCTTTTTGAAGAGGATAGGTTTTGAAAATGGACAGGATTCCTACTAAATAATAAATGTTATGCCTCCCTGCTCTCAAGAATGGAGCAGGCAGAACAGAAGGAGAGCTCAAATTAAACCATGTTTTCATCTCAGTGGGGGTAGGAGGTTTTAATACAAATTAAGATGCGAACATTTTTTTTCCCATAAATGAATAATTACCAAGAGTGTATCTCTCAAACATTTAGGTATTTTTGTTTACTTCTGGGAAAGGTTTGTATCCAACCAATCCTTCCCCAGATGAAGACATGCTAATGTATTATTGTGCTAACGCCCTTTCAGGATTGGGGTGCCATAGTTGTGAGTCTTCTTGCAAACAGAGGCAGTGGTAGATTCTTTCTTTGCAGTGCCTATTTTGGAAAATCTAGGAAGAGGTAGGATTAGAGAATGAAGGTATTGGATACACAAATTGACTTGGTGATAAGTGGTACAGTTCTTGTACTTGCGTTACTTCCAATTGTCAGTGAATCAGAACAGTGGTTCATCTAATGTGGCATCCTGTCTTTGACACTGGCCAGGATTAGATACTTGGAAACAAGGGTAAGAAACCTCTGGATCTTTGTTGAAAAACTGGCCCATGAGGAGAGTTCTTTCCTAACCTTTGTCAGAGTTTGGCTTGTTTTATGTCACCTAAATATCAGGGCTTCTATCCTCTATATTCTTTATCCTTTGCTTATATACCCAGACAGAAGATGCACTCACTAATTTACTTAGTCAACACTTAATCTGTACGTTTCTCTCTTCTCTTGAATCCTGTTAGTATCTTGGGACAAACTTCACAGGTAAATTACAGCATGTAAAAAAGTATTTTCTTTTATTCAATTCATTGCTTTTCAGAATCATTAGATACCCCTCATTCTTGTGAAAGGGTAAATGGAAAAGCATTTTATTTACTTGCTCTGTACATGTATTTTAGATACCTTTTAATAGTCTGTAATTTTCTCACTAAGCAATCCTTGTGGGAGTCTTTCTGATGACTCCTTTTGCTCATCCTTGGATACTTTTTGCTTTGTTCTTTTAAAATTGAAGCCTTGACTTTTAAAATTGCAGGTTAATATTTAGGCTTGTATTTTGTTTAAATATTGTATGTTGTGTCATGTGAACAGAAAAAGTAAGGGTAAAGCTAGTGCACAAAAATTTTGCAAGTCTAAAGCCCTGCTTAAGACGGGAATTGTTGGGATTCATAACCTCTGAAAAACAAGCCCTAGTTTTTCTTTGCTGTACGAATAACTTGAGGCAGTGCAGTTTGCTCTGAGAATTTTGTCTGAAAAGTAGAATACTTGTGTGTTCTGACTCCTGCCTTTGACATTGACTCTGTTGGTTGGGGAGGTTAATCTCTCTGCTTCAATTCTTCTGTCTGCAAAATGGGAATAACCACTGTTTTACCTCACAGGGATTTTGTGAATATTATTTTTGCACAGAAGGTTGAAGATGTTATGAATGGCTGGCATTTTAAAGGTTGAGCCTAATTCTTGTAAGGATTTCTATTTAAAATGACAAGCTGCTTTTTCATTTATAAATTAATAACTGATACAGTAGCACTCTAAACCCAGTTAAATGAAAGGGGGCTGCAGTCAAATGCATTTAAATTTTAATAGTGTTGGATGGAGTATTAACTGTCTCTCCTTCAAGCCATCATTAATTGGCTGATTTATGTATCATGGCTCAGGGGAATCATGAAGAGAGACTAGTGAAGACATCACTGGATTTGCAGAACAGTGCCAGGGGCCTATTCCTTTCCCACAAAGCCATGACAGTTGTTACATGAGAAGCTGACCAACGAGCCAGCAAAGTTGATGCAACTGGTAGAGCCCAGAGTGGAATAAGTTAGCTACCTCATGCCCAATTGTGTAGAGTTAAGACTGCATTTCATTATACCTCCAATTCAATTATGCCTCCTTAATGCTTGCTGGCCTGACAAACTACTGCAGAGGTATTGTAGGTGGTTAAAATTGAAGCTTCAGCTAGCTCTATTGGTCTGCAGCTGGTGTTCTTCATTGCTGCAGCAGAAAACAGATTTGATCATAGTTGTTTATCTTGCTGGCAGGTAGACAGCCAAAGGTAGGTTCTTCGCTTCCTATTTATTCCAATGACTGCTGGTAATGGTAACTCCTGCTTAATTTTGAGTAAAAAAAAAATGTCAGGACTTGAGGGTGAAATGTGCTTAAATAAGCAAGGACTCATAGGGTCTTTCTTAGAAGTATGGGGGACACATTCCCCAGATCTGTTTCTCAAACTTAGAAAGTTGAATCTCCCTTAAAAAAAAACAAACAAACCCATAATCCAATTAATTGTGTCTTTTAAGACGTGCTATCTTACTAGATGTAAGCATCATCCTGACCCTTTTCTCACTTGTTGAAGAAAGAATCTTGCTTTGTTTTAGCTTGGGTGCTCTCAGGGTGATGGTTGTAGTTTTATTTAAAAATAAACTAGATATTATCATAAAACAAAAGTTGGGTTGAGAATTGTTCTGTGATTGAGCCGATGGGGCGGCTTGGGTCTGAGGCAGGATGGTGCTAGGACCTGCTGCTGCCGCTGCTGCTTCAGTCAGCCAGTCCAGCCTCCGCCTCCCCCAGAGCACTGCTGAAGTCCCCTGGCTCCATGGGACAGATCTGGTCCGTGTGCCATAAGCTGTCAACCCCTGCTGTAAAGGAATGTTTTATATGCTGTCTGTTCCCTCCTGTTTAGAATGTTTTCTGGGCAGATCTTAACGTCCCACCAGCAAAATTGCACAAGCTGCCCCTTGCTCTCCTATCCCTTCTGTCTGTCCTTGCTGCCTTTCCATTTCTAGCTTTACTGCTGCTACTATTGGTACATGCCACCTTGCAAAAAAAGGCAGTGAAGGGGAAGCACCATCAACAAGAGAGAGAGAATTGGTTGTCTGGAAAACAACATCATAGGAACAAAAGAGTTATTCCTTTATCCTTATAGTTTCTTAAGGATTACTTAGAACAGTAGGTAAATGGATTTGGATGCAGAGGTAACCTAATTAGATGATATTCGTATGAGAACAGGCTAAAACTTCTGTTAACTGAGGAAATACCAGTAACAGTACAGCATCTGTAGAAAGCTCAGAATTTTGTTTTAAACAATGGTATATGCATAACAATAGTCTTTCTGCATGTAGACTGTGTTGTTGTGAAAGTGTTCAAGTTACTGTCAGTGTTTCTAATAGGATTTATAGCATATAAATTAGAGCAGCTTTCACTAATCAGATGACCTGAGACAGGACAGCTTCCCTTGGTCAGGTAGGTACAATATGGACTGAATTGTGAGTGAAACAATTAGTTTAAAAAATTAAGTATTTGTGGTAGCCAGCTAAAATCCTACAGAGGATTTGGAACATTTTTTTCATACTCAGAAAAAAATCTATACAAATATATTTAAAAGAAACCGTAAAGATGTAAAATCTGCTTCTTCAGTTTGAAGCGTAACCCACCTTGTCTAGTTGTTATATCTAGCTTACAGTTTTTAATAGGTTGGCAGACACTAATTATTAATCTTCTACATTTTTCATGGTCACCACCAAAAATGTGCAGCCTCATTGGGTTACTTTACTTCTCATATGTCGTTACTAATAACAAAGAACTCTAGCACAGAAGCTAGAGACACTATCATTTTGTCATGTCCAGTGAAGTTTAGAAATCTGGAATTGATAAGCCTGGTTGCGAAGCGAAGAAAAGAAGTTTGAATTTCAGAACCTAGATTGGGTTTACAAAGGTTGGCTATTTAGGAGGGGAGGGGGTAATCTCAGCTTTTTTTTGTAAAAGGAAGAACTGAAATTGAATAAGCAAGTTATAATAAATTTTGCTGCACTACCAGTTATTACCCAGATCTCAAATGGACAAAATTTAGAGAAGAATCGCACTTTGAAGAGGATATTATGACTTGTGGAAAGCAGATCAAAGAATGATATAGTATTTTAAAATATACCTGCCAGAATTTTTTGCAGTTCAAAACTATAGGTAAACATCATCCTACCTATTAGATTAAACTAATAGAATTAATGAGCTATTCTTGGAGCAAATGCAGGCATGATACACTTCAATAACTCAAACATAATTGGATAAATGATATAGACTTGGGAAATTAACTTAAAATTGTAGTGATAGTATGATTGGATTTGAAGCCAATCTCACAGTTAATTACTGTGCATCACTGTTAATTGCAAATGTGAGCTTTAAGGCAGAATCATTCAACTAGGCTATGACCTTCTTTATCATCTTCCCATTCACAATATCCATACTTTTTGTAAGAGCTTTGTGAAACTTACTTAAAGCAGTTTGTAGTTGAGGATTTTAATATTCAGATGTCCTGGTTATAGGTATATAACAACAATTTGAAGCATTCCAATACATAAATTTGTTTTTTTACACTTTCTTAGTATTTTAAAAATTCATCTATACATTGGATAGAGTACTGAAGTATGACTTCATGATTAGTGAAAACTTGTATTACATTAATGAGTTATCAATATGATGTATAATCTAGCATTTCTAGAAAAAGGGGAAACAGTTGCTTTGCAAACATGTAGTTCAAATAACTGAACCAAGAGATGAAATTAGAGGGTTGGGTCATCTGAAGCTGCAAGGAATAATGAACTACCTTGTCAAGTATGTATCTTAATGTCTCTTGCAAAAAGAGAATTAACTACAAGGTATACTTGTCAACAAGATTAGGGGGATTTAGACTCAAAGCAAAATGACTTAATTAATCAGTTCAGCCTATGGAGAGAGGTCTTGAGTGAGCTCAGTGAAGTAAGTGCGTTTATTCTTGAGAAGTC